TAAGTTCAAATCTGTTTTATTATGTTTTCTATAATCATATGGACAGTTCTGTACAATAACTATTTTTTACAACCCCTTTTTTATGAATACATATATACATATATTTTATTGTTATGTAAACACAAGTTTTAACCACCATCAGTAGTATAATACAAACAAATTCAGAATCTCAATTAACTTACATGCCCTTTTTTTAAGGATCCTACAATAACCTATATACCCTGGGAGGCTATATTTCCATTGATACACAGAGTAGGGAATTTGTCTTTTACATTCTATAAATATTCACCAGTCATTAAGCAATCAGACCAGCATAAAAAGCAGCTGATCACAAAACCCCAGTATACGTTACAAAAATAACCTTTTATATGACAAACACTCTATGGGTTCCTCAAACTTTCCCAAATGTTGGTATGAAATGATTCAGAGCTGTCCCTGGAAACATCACAGGTAGATTAGGTATAAATTGGCCTTGCTTGCCGCTATTGTATCCATGTGTCTGGACTTTTATTGATATTGGAAAAAGTCCTCGCATACTACAAGCCACTGGCCATGTGCCTAACAGAATTCTTCTGGACTGGGATTAACACTTTAGTATGGAGATAGAAGAAATGATGCAACTATTCCAGTCATTGCTTTCCACATAACAGTTTACAAAAATAAACATGTGGTCATAAATGTACATATATTAGAGTATATGTACTCATGTAAGTGTCCTTGTTACTTAATTTCTTTTAGGTAACAAGTTACATTTGACCTATCTTATGTACTAACAAAAAATGCATTTTCTGCTCAAATGCTATTCAGCATCACGATTTTAATTTTGCAAAGCTTTAGCAAGGCATGTAGGACATGTATACTACTACAAATTACGTTGTGCTAAACACAGGAGGGGATTTTTTTTTTCAACTGGAGCAGACAGTATCTGGAGCAGTTGCCTATGGCAACCAATCAGCATTCACCTTTAATTTTCAAAGCTTAACTGAATAAACAAAAGCTGATTGGTTGCTATGGGCAACTTCCCCAGATACTGTCTGCTCCAGTTTTGATAAATTCCCCCCACTGATTGCAGAAACATTTTAACAAAAACTGTAGTCAAATTGTACTATTCAGTGTTTACAGTTTATATTAAAAATAAAAAGCTCCTAAGCTTATTCAACAGAGCAGCATAAAGAACAACGCTCGTCTGCCAAGTACAGCAACCTATCCAGCTTTCAGTACAATACAGAAAGCTCTGGGAAATACTATGGTTACCTAAAACTTGCACATTGGTTTCTGGCTTACGGAATAAGCCCAGTGAGTAACGACTGATGTTACAGTGCTAAGTAATAAACGATAACCCCAGAAATCTCACTATTGTTAAACACTTGCCTACCGCCATATGTTTTAAAATGGTGGTACGGTGGACATGGTATTCTGCAGCGCCATTTGTAAACCACCTGTGCGCACCGGGCCTGGTATAGTGCGCATGATCATGCTGTCATTAGACAGCGCAGATCAAAGGCAAAATGCTCAGAGACAATCAGAGCGACTCTGTGCCTTCTGATCAATGTGAAAGTCAAATCACAGCGATTACAAATACTACTACTACAAAAAGTACTACTATGTACATTTGAGAGCCCGCCTTTTCCTCTAGCAGCAGAGGAAGGTGATGAAGAAGAATGTATTAATTGAGGGATCCTAGGGAGGTAGGCAGCTGCAGATTCACCCCCTACAATTCTGTAAATCTCATCATCTCTCGTCTCTGTAGTGCCTGTGTGTCAACGCCTTCACCTCCCTTATCCTGCACATTACCCCCTTATCTCCAGCCTCTCTCTGTATGTGACCTGTACATTACCCCTTTAACTCCTCCCTCTCTGTATGACCTATACATTAATGATGTGCTGTGTCTAGCGTTTCATTACCAAGGTCCAAGTTTTAACCACCACAATACTAGCATGTTTCTTCATTTAAAAACAATTGTGGCAAAAGTTTGATCACCTTGTGGTGTCTACTTTACAAAAAGGGGTTATTTTGGGAATGTTTGTACTGTCCTCACAATTTTATGTGATATATTTTGTACCAGGTAGAGAACAGACTTTTTTCCCTCAATTTTTTCCTTTAAATAATAAATTACAAAGATGGTCATTATTAAATACCACCCAAAAGAAAGCTCAGTCTCAATACAAATTATTTTAAATTCATTTGTGTACTGAAAACTGAGAAATTACCAGGTAATGAAGATGTACAATACAGGTTAATACTCAAGTGGTTAAGGAGAATGATGTTTGGTAAGGTGGTATATAAGTAGTGTGGCTTATCAAGGTGCAAAAAGACAACATAAAATACCCCTCATTACAAGCTTTTTTAGACATTTTCTAAGAGAATGAATCTGTATCTATGACTTTACACATCGTATGTAGTAGGGAAACATGTTGACTGACATGCAGACATTAGTTCTTCTTGACCGTCTTGATCCTTCAAAATTACAAAATCTGCAAAAAATCATAGAAGAAAAAAAATAAATGAACCTTCCAAAAAGTGTTTAAAATAAAATGTTTACTAACTCACATGGATGCAAGTATGGAATACTACACATAGTTACAAAACGGCAGTAGACAAAAATATCAATGCCAGAGACAGCTATTCAACAAGCAGTATAAGGAAGGAGTTTGGCAATGTCAGCCTATACAATTCACTTGCTACAGGTTCCCTTTGCATTTATTATTTTGCCCTTTGTACTGCTTTTTACTAAACTAAGGCATGCTGGTAGTAAGAGGGGTTAGACAAAGACTAGCCTACAGTGTTCTTTTTCTGTTCGTCAGCATTAAATCCTCCTGTAGGCAGCAGTATAACTCAAAGGTTCCTGCCTGCCTCAATGGACTCAAAGGATTTTACTGTGAGTTCAAAAATTCTATTTTGTTATTGTGCATTGAGGGACACAAAAAATCTTGAAGTATACCTAGAGCCAAAACGTTTTATTTAATGTTGGATAGAATAAGAGAAGGGTCTTAAAGACTCAACAGGAAGTGAGAGTTTACAGTATCTTTGTAAGAACATTTTACAGAACACCTGTCCTTATTGAAATATGTCCCCTCTATTCATGTTCTGGTGGCAACGCAAAATTTACCCTCACCTTCATTACTGGTGACATTCATGGACAGTACAGTTAGAGAAGTGAATCTACCCAACAGGGACAAAGACACCAATAAAAAAAACAGTGGTTCTAACACCTTACCACTCTATCCAAATCTAAAAAAAGGTTTGCCTTTAGTTATACTTAAACCTTCCAGAAGTACCATGGTCTCCTGGGCCAGTTGGAAGCAATAAAGTTCAAAAAGGATGCCCTCCCACTAAATCCTGTGAAGGAGGCGGGAGAATGGGTATAGAAAACGAAAGGCAAGAATCAGACCGAACTGATCCCAGAGTCTCCAAGGCTGACTGTGAAGGCCCGGGGATTCCTGGTCATAGCGACAAACCTGTTAAGTTTGTTAAACTTGGACGCCAGGAGGTCCACATCTGACGTCACCCCCCACCCCTCAAAGGTTTTAAAAAAGCTACAGGTGGAGCGACCATTCTCCAGGGTGCAGATGTCGATGACTGAGGTAGTCTGCCTGCCAAATGTCCATGCCTAGAATAGTACAGCAGTCAAGATCAAAACATGAAGTTCCGCTCAATTCAGATCAGGTCTGCATCTCCTGATTGATTGATTTAAGCTGGTGACTGACTGAATCCTGGTCGGAAGACTGTGTAACTGGGGGGCCAGTGTTGACAACCGAATCGCCCTTAGCTCCAAGATTCTCTAACTAGGTCCTTTGAAACAAGAGGCTCTCCAGGACTTGACCCCAGTCTGGTAGGCTGGCATCTCTTAGCACATTTTAAGTCATTGGTAGGAAGGATTTTCTCAACTTCATCATGGCAATTATAGCCACCAAGCATTAATTTTGTTGAACAGTCAGATTGGGAGATGTGAGGACTGAACTTGTCTGTCCCATACACCCACGATGTTGAGTTGCAGTGGCCATGAGTGAAACTGAGCATAGGGAACTGCCTTGAAGGAGATTACCATCAGGCCTAGAACCTCCTAGAAGTTGTTTTACCAAAACAGAATGGTCAGACAGCTCCTGGAGCACAAGGTCTAAGTGTGAGAGTGGAGAGACAGCAGCTTCTCCGGAAGAAGGAATACATTGGACAGGGCTGTGTCCAAGATGATAAAGCTTAAGTTGTCCGCACACCTTTTAGCTTCAGAATCTTGTCTTTATTGATGGTTTTGCAGTTTAGGAAAAGATTACCTGGCAAAAAGTGACCCTGCATGGTTCTGAAACATTGCAAAGTGTCAAGACTAGGCTCTGGCACTCCAAGTGATGAGAAGCTTTTAGCTTTGACTTCTGGATTTTCAGATCCATCCAACACAGTGCAGGGTTTGTATCGTCTGCTGAATATTGAAAAATAGGGTTTGCACAGACTGTTCTCTGAGAAGGAGGATGTCCAAGTACCCCAATATAAGAAGGAAGATGTATCCCTTATTCTCCAAACCCTAAATCCAGGAATCTCTTATCAAACTTGTTGATTTTTCACCGCATTTTACTTTCATAACCGTTCAGATTTTTACTGTACATGTTATTTATAAAATTTTTGTACAGAATGCAGTGTTCCGACCTATTGGAATAATAAACTATGAAAATTCATAAATTATACTTTGACTGCTTCAACCTTCTCACAAGCCTAAAAAGTATATTAAAAGTTGCATGTGTATTAATGGCTGGTGTGAGCAAGCAACTTTCTTTTGTTACTCGCTGCACCGTAGCTGACTAGAAAGCCAGGGGTGTGGGGTGCCTTGCTGTTCAAATTTCTTCAGAAAGTGGTGGCCCCAAAGTCATGGCAAAAAGAGTATACAAAATGTATGCATAACTATGTCCAGAACTGGCGAGCCTCTGTTCTTTTATTTATTGTGCAGTGTGCTACTAAGTTTTTCTGATATTGTGATGCAAGCAATCAACACAAAACCATGATATGTTCATGGAACATGTAGCTTTCCCCAATGATCCTTTGACTAATTAGTAAAGACACATAGCTTAGTTAATATCCGACACATATCCAGTGTATTTAAGAAGAACTCCGGGGGAAATAAAACCTTTACCTTTGCAGTAGGGCTATCCCCACACTGCAAGGGTTAAGTGCTCATTTTGTCTAGTTAGCTAAAATAACAGTTATACTCACCCGGACCTGGTTGACTCTTAGACCAGTCCCTTCTGCCTGTCTCTTGCTCCGCTCCAGCAATAGAATGTCCCTTGGTGCCTTCATGTCCAATACACTGTATTAGATGTAATAACTCACTGGACCTTGGACCGCTAGAGCGGAGCGGGAGTGACGCTGAAAAGACTGACTAGCAGCCAGCCATGATCGTGGTTCGGATGAGCTCCCTAGACAAAATGAGCACTTAACCCTTTCAGTGTGGGGGTAGCTGAAGTTCAAGGGTCAAGATTTTGTTTGCCCAGAATTTTTCTTTAAGGCGTATAAACTGCTGCAAAATATGACATTGTATAGACCTTTTTGGCAAAGTTAATGCAATTTGCCATAAATTCCTTTATACTAATATACAAGTATACTACTATGTAGGCTACCAATGCCAAAGTCACAAACTTACCCTTTGAGGTACGGCACTAAACTTTAGTCTGGCAAGTATTCTTTTAACATCTTCTACTTTGGGTTTCATGTTCACATGCTCTAGTGATAGTGCTTGACTTTTAGAAAGCGCCCATTTAATGCCTAGTTTATGGACTGTCAAGTTTCGGGGCAGCTTTTCTGTGTCCACTCCCTTTTCTGCTGTCATTATGGCAAGAACAACATCCTTCTCCAGCTCTATGATGCCTCCTAACAGACAAAAATAAAATAAACATCTAAATTAAAAGGTGTTTTAATATGTGGAATGTTTCTTCGATACGTTACCAGCTAAATGCACAGAAGTAACATGTTTATTTGATTATAGTTGCTGTTCTATAATGCCATGAAACTTACCACCTGTGGCAACTATGCTTGCCGTAATATTGAAAAGATCTAGAACAACCCCAGGGTAGGTTGGGTAGAGCAAGTAGAGATGTCTGTTCAAATGTGCTTCTGATTTTGAATCCAACACCTGTTTGTTGTAAAAACAATTATTGTCAGGATCCAGACATTGGCCACAATAGCAATCAAGCTGCAACTTTTCTAAAGAAGGTTAGATAATGAAGCCATTGCATATGTTACAAGCAAACTACCATTTTCCGTTTCTCCATTTAACCTCTTCGTGACTGACTATGTACAGTGTACGTCGCCAGCATCGGGGCTGTTTAAACTTGTAAAGCCTACTGAGCTGAACTGACTGAACTAAAGCCGACTGACTGAACTACCACCATTTTATTCTATAGGGTCTTGGCATTCAGAAAATATATAATGTTTGGGGGGTTTTAAGTCATTGTCAGGCCTAAAATGTGGAATATAACATGGGTGCAAAAAAATGAAAAAAAAGGCCTCAGTCATGAAGGGGTTAAAGCCGATCAGAATTGAAGAAAAAAAAAATCCTCACCCTCTCCTAGGCACCCTCTAACTACCTTTCCTGTCTCTGTTCTCTCTAATCTGAGATTCTGTTTCTAAAAAATCCAGTAATCCTGGTGCGCATTGCCTGCGTCCCCAGACTGTAGCACCTGGAGCCTGAGTGGTCAATACCCAAGCTTAATGCTATCACATGGGGATGAGGGGGGATGCTATTAAGTAAATTTTTTGTGACGTTATAGGGGTGGCAGAGAAGATATAGGGGGCAGGGAGGGGTAAGCATAGGCACTGAAAAGTGCCTAGAAAAGGACAGAGGAATGGCTGGGGAATTTGTTTTATTATGACAAGTTTTACTATAAAATATGAGTTATTCTGTATCTGCACAATACTAGTAAAAAGACTGTCATTTATTTAAACTAGCAAAATAGCAAAATCACTGGAGAAAGACACAGCAGATCATTTAACAAAATGATGTATCAGCACCTGTTGCACCAAATAAAGTACAGTACTTCCGGTGTCGGATCCACACAAGGGCAATTCAAGTAGCCCCCTGGGCCCATAGTTCCCAGTGCCTAAAAAACGTGATCTAAGTAATTTGGATGTACCTCGTACACACGTCTTACCCTTTACCAGGCCGATTCAACAAACCAAATTCAACAGACCATGCTGGGTCCCATTCTGTTGTGCTGCAGCTCAGACACTGTTCCTAATGAAAATGCGCTAGCAAATGTGATGTAACAATATTATTGTTACAATTTATTTAGACTATGTTTTTTATGTGCAGATCAAAAGGACACCTTGATAATATCAGGTAAAGCAACCTGACAATTGGGGGGGAAAAATTGGTGTTTTTATTTTTTGTTTCAGCAAAAATTAAAACATTTATTTAACCCTAAATCAGTAGTTATAAGCTACTTCCTCCCTTGTCTGTTTACTTTATTTAAAATCTTGTTTTTACCCTTTCATTTATGACTTTTTTTTTATTTTGCCATTTGTTTTTGTAGTATCACATTGGAGTATATTACTGGACACATGAGTTTTGTCTTGAACCATTGGTTATGCAGCCGCTTTCAGGTGATTAGAACTTATCCCTATGTAACACTAAGAAGGGCTCTTTACAGGATAAGGGTGCTCACTCAGAGACTCGCCTTTGCGGAGATGATGGCAAGATCTAAGACTGGTACTAGTGCCTTGGTGAAGACCCAAGGTGTTGCCAAATGAAAACCCAAGTTGGTATTGTTGTGTTCCTACAGGAAAACATAGAAAACGATGTAGTGGGAAAATGGGATGCGAGAGTAGGCAACCTTTGTCCACAGAGGCCAGAAAATCCTCTAGTTTAAGGGGGAGCATTGACTGACCTGGTAGACTGCATTCCACGTGCTACCCATGAGGAGCTAGTGAGCCCTCCGAGGAAGGTAGCGACTCAGATTGGAGAAGTTATAGTACCACTTGCTGTCCTGAGCAATTTCTTACTATTTGCGCACACATGATAAAATATACATTTTTGGCTAGAAAACAGCTTCAAACCCCCAAACAATGATATATTTTCTGAAAGCAGAGGCCCTGCAGAATTAAAAAAAATGCATAAAATGCAATTTTATGTCGCACGGTATTTGCTCAAATGTTTATCAAACCAGTATTTTGGGATAAAATAAACTGAATTAAAATTTAGTGCACAGAAACAGAATATAATACCCGATTTTGTAGTAAAATATGAAAGATGGCGTGACGTCGGGTAAATAGATACCAAACATGTCAAGCCTTAAAATTGCGTTCGCCCGTGAAGCCACAAAAAACTTCAATACCCCAAATTTCCCATAGGGAACAGTTTAAACGCTTTTACCGCTCATCAGTTTAGTGCTAACATTGATTAATGGCTCTACAATTATTGCTCTCACTCTGACGTTTGCGGCGATATGCAACATGTGTAGCGCAATTGTCGTTTTCGCACGTAGGCGCACCGACACGTGTATATGCGTGCACGTCGGGGGTGGAGGACTTTAAAAAAAAATTTTTTGCATTTTATTTTACTTGTATGTTACTAATTTTTTTAAACACTTTTTTTTTTTACATTCACCTTATTGCTATCACATAGGTAATAGATAGAGTGTGACAGGTCCTCTTTATGGAGACATCAGGGGTCTTTCAGACCCCTAATGTCACCCCGGGACCCCAAAGAAGTTGAGGAAGCAGAGATCTGCTTCCCCAGCTCTTTCTTCTGGCTCTAAGAGCCAGAGAATGAAAATAGTGACACCGTTATACAATACATATCACTTCCGGGTCCAGTGATCGGAGGATAGATCAGCTCTCTCTCCGATTGCTGCAGGGAGACCCGCAGTGCCAGTCCCGGGCGCCGCATGGGGACAGCGGAGCCCGTGGAAGCCGACGGTGGCCCCAACAGGGGGGAGGCTACAGCGTCGCTTAGTACAAACGATCAGGCGGCTGTATAGATGCCGGATCACTTGTATATTAGCAGCCATCGCTGGCTGTTAAAAATGACACCAAGAAGTTCTTGTTTTAACCACTTCTGCGGGCCGCCGTATATAGAACATATTGAGGCCCGGAATTGGTTAAGGATGTCCTTACAGTGTCCAATCACCTGAAGGCAGCTGCGTAACCCATGGTCTTAGGCCTTGTTCACACCGAAAGCGTATGCGTTCCAGAGCGGGAGCTGCTGGAATGCACCGCGATTGCTGTGAAACTTCTCCCTGCGTTTTGGAGCAGGAGGGGCGTGGCGGTGCATTGTATTCAATGGAACCGCTTCCACGCCCCCCGGCCCACAGTGCAATCGATTGCGTGGCAAAATGTTGCCAGCGTTGCATTAAACGCACCGCTTGTATATTAGCAGCCCCCCGCCCCAAAACGCGGGGAGAGAAGTTTCACAGCGATCGCGGTGCGTTCCAGCAGCTCCCGCGCTAGAACGCACACGCTTTCGGTGTGAACAAGCCCTAAGACAAGGATCCTGTATTCTGTAATGTACCGTAATTTCCTTTGAAAAAAAAATCTGCCATGATTTGTAATACAAAAGTCATTTTAGTATAATCAAGCCTTCCACCTGCTGCTTTTGGGGTTCATTCAGCAATACACAGTAAAGTACACAGTTACATAAAGTTAAGGTTAAAAAGGGCACAAGTTCAACAACAACAAAAAAATAATAAAGTAAATACACTGAGCACATCCATCTTGGAGCTGCCCAAAATCTTACTGAGGTATTTTCTGCAGGCCGTCCTCCCCAGAAAAGGAACACTGATTTGCCATCTGCAGTTAGAAGTGACATAGCATTGACATCTCTTTCATGCCACAAAACCTCCCATTCCCAAAGTATTGCACCCGTGGATCCATCAATCACAACAATCTGAAAGAAAATACATTAATTACATTTAGGCCTTATTCACACGGGGCTCACAGGGGGCGTACATGTCCTTGCGGCGTGCACGCCTGTACACGGCCGATCCCTTGGAGGGACAGGTGGGGAGTGTGGCTGCACGCAGCAGCCTGTTTTTCACTATGGGAGGATGCGGCCGTACGTCACCCCGAACTGCACATCCGCGTGGGTCCGGGTGTCCGCACTTGGATGCAGACAGGGTGCCCCCTTTGACACACACATAGTCAAAAGAGGTAAAAAATAATAATTTAGGTTAAGACAAACAAAAAAATTATGTACATTTCAGAGTTATACAAAAAGACCTTTTTCAGGGAAGAAGTGAAGGGTTAACAACTCACAGTTGTCCTGCAGCAATTTAAGTAAATGAAGCCTTGTTAGTTTATGCTAACAATTCCTATAGGTCAGGGGTGGACAAATTAGTCTGGAATTCAGCAGCCAGCTCTATTAACAACAACTAGAGAAAACCTCAACAGTTAGGGGCCAGCTCTAATTTTAAAGGAGCATTGGTGACCTGGCTCCCGGGATTTCTCCAACTTTTGTTGATTACTCACAAGCCCTCTGTCTACATAACAGCAGTGTTGGAACAGACTGTGTTACTACACCCTCTTAAGCAATATTTGGACAGTATTACACTGCGGGAAGTAGTAGATTGCTCTCAAAATGGCGAGAAAAAGTAAATTAACAAAAGGAAGACAGACAGACCATTATAACCCTTAAAACTGTAGGTCTTTCCACTTGGAAACTGGGAGAAAACTCTGACAGGAAGAGGTCTGACCCAAAGTCACAACAGAATCAGAAGTTTCTGAGAGTCAACAGCTTGCGTGACAGGTAACTCACAGGACAACAGCTTCAAGCACAGCTTAAAGCCGATCAAACTAAGCAAGTTTCAGTTAAAACTGTGAAGAGAAGACTTTGAGCTGTAGGTTTGATAGGTTGAGTGGTAAGAAAGCCATTGCCAAGATGGCAAAATCATTTATTTTTTTTAAAAGGCTTGCCTGGGCGATTAAGCACTGCCAGTTGGCTACTGAAGATGAAAGAAGGTCTTAGGCTGGGTTCACACCTAGGCGTATCGAATATGCACGTGTGTCGCGCGATTCGCGGTAAAAACTGCGTGACAAACGCGCGTTTCCGAGGGCTACTTCATACGGCCTGTAATATGCCCAGGTGTGAACCATACCCATAGGAAATAATGGGATTTTGGGGTTTGAGCGTTTTGCAGAGCGTAGGAACGCGCTACAAAACGCCCAGGTGTGAACCGGGCCTTATGGTCCAATGAATAAAAAGTTGAGATTTTTGGTTCAACACGCAGGGTTTTTGTATACCGTTAAGAAGCAAAAGTATGGTTCCTCAGTGTGTGAAACCAACTGTGAAACATGGAGGATGAAGTGTGATGGTCTGGGGCTCTTTTACTGGATCCAGAGTTGGCGACTTGCACAAAGTGAGTGGCACCCTGAACCAAAACAACTTCGACAGCATTTTGCAGCACCATGCAATACCCTCTGGTGTATGTGGAGTTGGTCAGGGGTTCATCCTTCAGCAAGATAATGACCCAAAACATACCTCCAATTGTTTATTTGTTCTACGCTTTATTTCAATAAAAACTGGAAAAATGTGGGTGTTCTAAAAC